ATGAAAGAGGTTTGAAATATTTCTTCTGGGAAATCAGTTCGCTAATTTTGATCTATTAAAGGCTTGAATATTGCGTATGTCTATCTATTAAACTCCTTAAAACAGCTTCTATTCGATTCTCAGTGTCTATCAAAACACCACCACTTCAAAACTCCCAGTTGAATCAATTTCAACCCCCAATCCCCAACTCAACCCAACACCTCACCACCTGCCACCTAAACTTTGGCTCTATAATCATCCCTCCCACTCTCCAACCTCTCCCTCGACGTCTCATAAACCCTCGGCACACCACTCCCCTCCCAACTCCCCCAATCCATCATCCTCACCACGCCCCTCATCGTCAGCCAAATAACCGGCATCCCATGTCCCTCAAACCCAGCCGCAACCCAAACCCCCTTCCGACCCGGCACCTCCCCAACATGCGGCAGTCCATCCGAGCAATACCCCATAATGCCACTCCAAATCTCTTGGACCTTCGCACCACTCTCTTCCCAGCCTGTGAAGTGATCTTGCATGTACGTATCAAAATAGCATTTCGCTGGTTCGATTAAGGATGAGTCATCGGCGTTGTTATACCACTCCCCCCTATGACCCAAGAAATGCGAGCGTCCGCCACCGACGATGATGGAGCCGTCGGGACGCTGGATCAGGTAGTCGTGGGAGCCGCCATATAGACGGAGACAATATGTGTTGACTAGCTCTGGGGGTGTGCAGGAGGGGGAGGGAACAATGTGACAGCAGATTCCTTTGCAGGGGACGATTTTGGTGGTGTATTCGGGGAGGAGGGCGGAGGTGTAGGCGTTTGTTGCGAGGATTATTTGGGGGGAGGTGATAGTGCCTCGGGGGGTGGAGGCGGTCCAGGTGTTTGATGAGGATTCAAGAGAGGTTGGTGGTGAGGATTGGGTAAGGGAGGTTACTGGGGTGTTGGTTTGGAGGTTTAGGTTGCCGGTGGTGTGGGTGATGTGGAGGAGGGAGGTTAGGAGTTTGTAGGGATAGAGTGATGCTGCTGAGAAGGTGAAACAGCCTACACATCCTTTGACTCCTGAGATCTTTCAACTCATTAGCATGTTCCTTTTAACATCAGAAGAAGACTTATAACTTACCTTCTCAGCTTCCTCCCCCTCCATCCAAACCAACCCCTCCATCGTACTCTTAGCCACCCCCTCCCCCTTCAACCTCAAATAAGTTTCCTTCGCCCTCCCCGCCTCCTCCTCATCCGTATAAACATCAAAACTCCTCGTCACCCTAAACTCACACTCAATCCCCTCCCTCTCCACCACCTCCTCGATCGCACTCACGTGAGCATCCTCAAACTCACACAACTCAACCGCTTTCTCCAGTCCAAACTCCTCAATCAACATAGGCAGTCGCGTATGCACAGACGGTCGTAAGTGTCCCCCATTTCGACCCGTGGCTCCGGAACACGCGCCGCGTGCTTCGAGGAGGACGACGTTGGGTTTTGGAGCGCCGGATGCGAATTTGGCTTTTGCTTCTGGCGAGGCGAGCAGGTGGTATGCTGCGGCGATTCCGGCGTAGCCGCCGCCGATTATGAGGATATCGCAGGTTTGGGGGAGGGAGGGCGTGGTGCGGTGGTTGTCGAGGGCGTGGAGAGAGGCGCGCCAGAAGGGGGTGGTGGATGTTTTTGAGGGTAGCGGTGATGGTGGGATTTGATGGGGGTTAATTGAGCCCATGGTTGTGGTGCAATTGGTTTTGATTCTCTAAGGTGTTGGGGGTGATGATGTAGATGAAGTGAAAGATCGAGAAATTGTTGTTTTGTTTATATTTCGATTGTCACCGCTTTGGCGAGATGTCCACTTGAGGGTTGAGCGGTGAATGAAGATTACACAGTATTTGCTAACACAACAGCACGATCGGTTATATCCAAAAATAACAGAATCAATCAGTCTTGGATGCACACACAAGAGTTCAGAAAAACCTTTTCCAAGAGGCCGAGACTTGCTTGTCCAGTGGATTGAATAAGTCGAGTCAAGTCAATTAGAGTCGCTCAAGAAATTGTTTCTTCAGCAATAGATCACGACAATTCGATCGAGCAACACTAGATGAAAACAAAATTCAAAAAATATTTTGTACTCGAGTAAGTTTGAGCTTAATAATATTCGAAGCCGGGTTATCGCCACATATCCACCTTGGCAGGTACCAAATGTCTACAAACGCCCACTCTTGGGAGATCGCCAAGATAAGGGCGCATTGTTGGGTACCTATCACTCAGCGATAGGTGGAAGCGAACATGAATCTGATTTGTTTATGAAAGACTTTAACGGTTCAGCTTTAATTCTTGATGCGTTTTCGTGGCTAGTCGTAAGTGCTTTGCTTTAATTTGTCTTGAAGCTAAAGCAATTAAGTTACAACCCCAACATAAAACTCTTTTTATTGACCACCACTCTGGAATCTTAGAACTAATCTACCAATATTTCATTATTCAACTTGTTTTGCTTCAATTCAACCACCGATTTCGAAGCCAAATGAAGTCATTTTCAAGCACAACCGCGGCATGGTGCGAATTTAATCGAGAATGGCTCCGATTTCTTGATAACAGGTTGACTGATATCCGAGTATGCCACAACGGGCAAACCAGCATTAGGATGGCTGTAGCCGAAGTAACCTCGATAGTTGTTGGGTTTGTTGACAACAGTCATGACGGTGAAGTCTTGATCGTAGTTCCATCCCCAGGAGATTTCCCAGGTTTGAGGATTCTGTTGGTTTTGTTAGCTTTGGCATCCCCCGAAAATCTCAAGTGATCGTTGAATATCTTCACTTGAAGGTCAAACGATGAAGAATGATGAAGAGTGAAAATACATACCTCAATACAACCAACCCCGAAAAATTCCTTCAAAGTAACATCCTTTCCATCCTTCACTTTGACATCGTGAATAGTGCAACTGCCCTTTCCGTAAGGAGCATAGTCAATTGTAAATTTGTAATCGCAGGTATCGACGATGCTGCAGTTGCGGATGAAGTTCTCGACTGAGAGCGTTGTTGGGATGGTACGAGGGATGATGTTTGGGCTTGCTGTAGCTAGAGCTGCGAGCAAGGGGAGGATTGTGAGGAATCTCATTTTTGGAGACTTGTTGGTTGTACGAGTAAAATCTGGTATTGAGTCGTTTTGAGTTAAGTTTACTGCATTCTTTTTGAAAGTACCAGTTGAGACTTTTGATGATCTCGTTGAAGATGAAGAAAGCAAAAACCAGGAAGACGGAAGAGAAGCAACTATTTATCTTTATCCCCACCTCGGCTCTAGAACCTGTCCACCTCGAGGGCTCTCACACTTTTCGTATTCTATAGACCAGTGCTGATATTGACGACTTTGAACTACAGACAACGAAATTTTCATTACTCAAGACCCAGAATTTGTGCTATGATTAACCTTACCAATTTCTAAATTCTACTAGTGCTGACAGATCAACATCATATGAGCCCTCGTATTGAGATTTTGTGTAGACAGAGATTCTTGGACATACCCTGCCAAGAAGTGTTACAATCGACACGAAGTCACTGGGAAGTACCGATGTATCAATTGACCAGGGAAAAGTAGGATTTTGTACCTGGAGGCATACGAGGTTATCCGGGGAAGTTTTTGGACACTCATTGACTCGAGGTGGATTTGATTGCTGGAATTTGACTGGCATGTTGCATGCAACACGAAGATTTTCCGGATGCCAGTTACTTTTTCATCGATTCTGGTTACATTTTAGTTCAAATTATCTAATAAACAATCAGCATGAAGCCTTATTCGTCAATGGCTTCCACAACAACCGGTAAACTGGAATTCCAAGATACGAAGTGGTGTCCGCAGATGGCTACGTGCGTATTGTATTAGTAATCTATAAAAGGAACAGTAGAGAGCAAAATTGACCAAAATATGCGGGAAAGCGAATATGACATATATGTGATACATCAACACAGTCGGTGTCGTCAGGTGCAAACGGCATGGTGGTAATGGAATCGATTATGTCCGACATGACTAAATCTTTGCGTTACGTTTACACCATCTAGTCGGAAACAAAAAGTGCTACTTGTAAAAAGAATCTGTAACTGAAAATATTCTGTACCATACCTTCGGGCGAATTCAAGGCGAGAATCTTTCTGATTCCGTTTTGTGCTGTACCGGTTGTCTCTTTGAATGATTTTGCATCTCAACTTATGAACTGCGCTTTGCTTTAGCCCACCTCTTTCTTCAAAAGGCTAGCCACTGTTGTTGTTCCCAATTTCAGCAATCATCAATTTCCTCGTCTGTTGCGAACGCATCTCCTGGTTTTTGTCAGCATCTTCCATCGGGCCAAGACTTCGATCATTATACCTGTTCGACGCTCGCCTCAATCACATATCGAATGATCAGCACTGATCTTTTCTGGTTCATTCTTATGGCCCTAGAAATTGCTTGGTTCTCTACACTGGGATTCCATTGCGGTTCGATGATGAAGACTCGATTTACAGCAGTGAGGTTGAGGCTAGCTTCTCGTTAGCGAGGTTTTCTCTAGGTACTAAGACAAGGAGTCAAGATGAAAGTCGTGAAAATCTACCCGTAAGCACCTGTTCCTGTTGTCATAATGAGAATTGGGATGGCGGATGAACTAGTGAAATCATCTAGTATCCGTTGACGACGAGCAAGAGTTGTGTTTCCGTCAATGCGCATGAAAGGAATGTCTTCCTTCGCAAGGTACCTTGCAATGAGATTCAGAGTGTTTGTCCAGCAAGAGAACACTATGCTAAACAGCTATTAGTACTGCTTCCAGTTGTAGACATGGAGTCTTGTAGTTCACCTTTTGGTCTCCCACAAATCTTTTCGAACATCCTTAATCAAAGCCTCCATCTTCGTCGAAAAGCCTTCGTGTCTTAGATAATTTCCGCTTTCTTCTTGCGGCGGATGTAACTGCTGATCAGAAGAATGATCACCGGTATTCCCGCATAGTGGACACTCTTGACTTCTGTGTTTTCTCTTTCCCCCCGTTGGCTCATCCGGATCAGAACACTCGTTGCAGATAATGTGCGCGCAATGGCCTGGATAAGTCTGATAAAGGTCTTTGGCATACATCACACTCATAGATTGTCTACAAGCTGAGCAATGAACTTCTCTATCGTCTCCAACAGAACATAGGGCATCTTCTTTCTCATCTAGCTGGCTCCTATTATTCCACGAAAATGGCCGTTGATATGTCCCATGATTGCAAAATATTCGAAGCTGGAGTTGGACTTGGAACATTCCAAATATGTTTTTTCTGTACGATTCCCCGACACCGTGTCGAAGGGCTCGATTCATGACGTTGATCGTCTGATTGTATTGTTCTCTTTCCTCATTTGAGAACTCGAGAGATCGAAGAATATGCTGTGGGGTCGGCAAATGCAAAAGTTCCCTGGAACGTCGCAAGCATAAGGAATCTAGTAACAGTGTGAGATCTCTCGTGGCACTCTCTCTCCCTGTCTGACTTTCATCGAATGGTGTTGAAATGAATCGGCGAAACATGGCGATGTTGTGGAAAGGATGTGCTTGTATAAAAGCAAATAGAGAGCCTACATCGTCCAATTTGTTTTGAATCGGTGTTCCCGTAAGGCACCATCGTGATTTTGCTTTGAGATCTGCGACAGCTTTGAAAAATGTAGTGACTTGCCGCCGAATTATGTGCGCTGTTTTAACGTTAGCGTAGATCGGTGTGTTGCAAAATGGTTGAGAGAACCTTCGTCTAAAACGACCCGGTACCAATTGACGTTATGTAAAGGGCTGGATTTATCTTTGAAATCGGATACGATTGTATGATAAGTCGTAATAACAATGTCTGCATTTCTAAGGTCCAAGGATTTTCGTTTTGGCCCATGATATCGGAGAGTTGAGAGTGTCCCATCGAGGTGTCTGGATACAAAATGTCAGCCTACATAGCTCAAGAGCTTAGCTAGATGTTGCTTGCATCTTAATCTCATGAAACCATTCGTTGATCAGAACTAGAACGTTCGTCAATAAGTAATGTCTTTTTTTTTTTTTGATATATTCATGTGGAAACCTACTCGCCGAAGGAACAAGAATCAGAGTCGCTCTGCAAGCCGTTCGTCTCCCAGAGCTCTCTGCAATGGTATTTGCCTCGTTCAACCAGTCATAAGCTTTATCGAGGGTATGAGTAATGAGTGCCAAAGTAGACAACGTTTTCCCCATGCCCATTTCATCAGCTAAAATGCCCCCACCAGTTTCGTTGGGTAAGACATGGCTTTTTGCTTTGGTGATCGTGTGGACGTAACTTAGCGCAGTCAGTAACTGGTCGAGCGGAAAGTTTCAAAACATACGAATTAATATTGAATGCCTCTTTTTCCTTCCACAATCGAAATTCTGGAGGAACAGGCCCATTCTCTCGCTGTAACATGAAGTCGAGCGCTTCTTTTTGATGCCTGGATGAGATCACAGGATTAGAAAAGTTCTCAGTCAAAGAAGTTGTGTGAATTGGGTATGAGCTGACAACTTACGGAAGCAACGTAGTTTTGAGCCGCCGGTCTCCTTCAACTTTGCTCAGTTTTGAGCCTCTGGTGAGAGACGAGTACATGTTGGTGATTGCATCGTTAAACACTTTGGCGGCGTCTGATTTCGATGTTCTATCGGTACCAATTTTCGATTGGATTTCGTAATCCGACGCATTTAAACCAGGAAATCGAATGACTTGAGGGTTCGAATATTCTGATCCACTTCGCAATTTGTCTGGGTGTTGCAGGAAAACTTTGTGACTAGATAAATGCAGCCCAACATCGTCACGATCGTGGCTGGGACCGAACACATTGATATTAACACGCACTACAGCATCGGCTGCTTTTGTGACCCTCCCAATTATCTCCTTGATTGCTTGAACGGATACAATTACTTCAAATTCAATAGTCGGCTTTTGAACAAGGCTTCCTAGAGCTTTACTCAATTGAGTATTAAGGACACCAAATTCAGTACCATCAACAAAGTAGAGACAAACATCGGAGTCATTCGACGGTGATCTTTTGAGTCTGAAGTCACAAAAGAATCGCACATCTGGACCATGCTTTAATCTTGCATCGATATCTGACATGTTTCCGCGGAGTCTGACTGCCTCTCGATAGATCTGTCGGTGTCTATTAGCGAACCCATTCAAATACCTCAACTACTGAGAGTAAAACTTTGGCACGAACTAGTGACATGCTGTTCGTGGTGAAGTTAGAGCTGTCCATAGGTGTGGTAAAAGAAATCATGACTTCAGACCATCCCTGAAAAGAAGAATTGAGACACTGTGGATTTTCGACTTTAGATACAAGAACGTCAACTTAAATCACAACTAACCATTCCATAGCACAAAAGACTCTCTTGACAGGTTGTGAATTGCGTTGATGGGACAATTGAGGCAATAGATAGTGCCATGGACTGCACTGCCCAGGACTCGATGCTACTTTCGACGTTGTCATTCAAAGTGTCAGCACCATTCTCACGTTCGTTCGTTTCAAAGACATAACTATCTACAGGAATATCTTGATGCAACAACTGTCCCCATACGTGCTCCCAAGATGACTCGATAAGTCGAGAACTATTGTGTTTAACATTTTAACATGTGACACGAATGGTGGTTGAAGCTTACTTCTGAAGCTTATTCGAAGAAACATTTTGAACTGGTAGTTCTTCCTCTCCGTTGAGCCCGTTCTGGTTAGGGTAACCTTCAAAGCTGTTGTTCAAAAGTGATTTGAGTGGAATCATACTTCTCAGATTGATTAGGTTTCCTACCCTGGATCGCGACAAGTTTTTTAATATTAGATGCCATGCAAACCAGACAGACAATGTGTCAGCGGTAGTCCATAATCCCAGAAATGAAGCGGGGCGCCCAACTCAACCTTGAGCAGGAAGAATTCAGCCACAAAAACCGCAGCCTTGTTGTTCATCCAACCATGTACTTCCAGTTCGGTGAACGATTGCACTGCAATTTTAGCCCGGACGAAGATGATCCAAATCATATCGTGGAAAGAAAAATGATTGGGCGGTCTGTGGTATATGGTGTGACCCGAGAATGACTGTCCGAGACCAAAATCTGGGCTTGATCGACTTGCTCCATGGAAAAGCCTCCGAAGCTATCTGTGGACATGACTTCTCGGGTCGTATGTGATCGTATACAGCTAGCAACAATATCAGGACTTCTTTGGAACGCTCACTATTCATTACTTGAGCCTTACGAAAAATCGTCGGAGGGACTATCTATGAAATTTAAGTCACTTGGCATCAAAAGATACTTGCGGAGTCAGCCCTTTGCCAAGTTGTCTTGATACAGAGACTCAGAAAGGTTGCACTGCAGCAAACGCAATTCGCTAACATAAGTACCAATCAAGCCAAAGCGAGTCAATATGGCTCGGTGGGCGGCATGCGCTCGTTCGCCTCACTCCTGCTCAGTAAGACAGTACCTAGTCTCAATCCCTGTAGAAGTGCCCAGATGCTTGTTCCTGGGTGTGTGTAATGCTGCATCGTTCATGTGCACTGCAACTTTAGCCTGAACGACGGCATCAACTCCAGCACATCATGGGTGCAAGGACTGACGACTCGGTGTCTCGACCACCTCATTTGCCCACAATCAAGTCTTCAGAGCTTTACCACTCGAAAAACTCCTTCGAAGTTTGTTGCTCTGATCACAACAGGAGAGCAAGCATTTTTTCAGGTCCCCATAACGAGTTATTGCAGTAAGCGCATGCGTTGGTTGGTACTCTGCACCTGCCGATGAAAAGCTATCAACCTGGATGATAGGGAATCATTCCGTCGTCACCTTATTGAACGACTCGGGCTTTCATAACCATCGATATAAATCTCTGGAATCTTAACGTAGTTGGGCTTATTAATAGACAGACTCTGATACCCGTTCCCACTCAAGAAAAGGGCAGTAACTCACGATGCTCCTTTGAAGACTTAGCCATCGTAACTGTGTACGCGTAGAAAACGAAGATTTTGATGGGAACCTGCGACTACCAGACACTTAGCCAAGCAGATAGGCCAGGAACTATTTTTCAAGAGACAAATGTCAAAAATAGCAGCGGCCCTTTCGTCTGCAGTTTTATCTATTGCGTGCTCAGTGTCAGGGCCACAACCAAAACTATAAGAAGCTATTTACCTGGAATTATATAGTGTAATTTTTGAGAAATCTGGTCTGTGGTCTATTTGAAAACAATCTGTGGTTCGAGAAGCTGGTGAAATGAGGAATCAATGCATATAGTCCACCATGTATCTGACCACTTTCGGGACTCGTGGATTAACACAAGAGGAGTAGAGCTATTTGCCTTACATGGGAGGCAAGTTTGCAACCTTCTGCACTGCAATTCAAGCGTGGTCGAGGACAAGAAATCGCGAGAAGGTTGTGACACCGCCAATTGCTACAATGAGCCTCACCGGCTCTGGTGCACTGCAATTTTTGGCGTAAATAGGAGCATGACTCCTGAGATGAGACTTGAAGATTAAGGCTTTATAACAGTGTCTCGCAAGATGCACAAACTTGCAGCGTACTGTCAGAGTCTCAGACAGTTTAGTAATTTACTCAGCAGAGCTTGACCAATCGAATGATTTTCTGACCATACTCCAACACCACGATAGAACCTTGATTTCAAAATATATGTGATGTACAACTCTGACATGTCGTATTAATTGGGGGCTGTGGAAAGCTCATAGGGCCGTCGAAATGATATTGCAAACGTAAAAGAAAAGAGTTAGCGATAGCGATCATTCTTATTCTTCGGTGGGAAAAGGCGATGAAAGACTTTGTATCAACGCTGATCAACATCTTCACAACGCCGACGCGCTGAGTGTATTTACTGCCTCATTCTAGACTCAGACTTTGGACCATGATGTTGGGCAGCTTGGGCAGCAAGTGCACTGCGATTTTAGCGTGAATGACGGCCACTTCATCAGCAGTGAACGAGTAGAAAGACTAGCCACTCTACCGCATTTTAAAATCAATAAGTCAACAAGTTTATATTATCCCCTCCCCCTGAATAGAGGTTTATTCAGTGGGATTGTGCAGGCGTAGCCAGTGACTGGTAAGTTGGCCTCGATATGTGGATTTTAGGACAAATTCTTATCTTTGCCATATAAACCGCCCTCGAACCGACAACTTCAACTCGTCCAAAAAAATCCATATTACCCACCGTATGACCTTTAATAAGGGGGGGGGGGGGCGATAGTAGAACACTTACATACAGTTGTCGACTAATAAATGGATCGAGCTACTATCCATTGGAGTATCGGCGCGCCAACACACCGCACTGCTATTTTAGTGTGAGTAGAACAATGTACCCCCACGAGAGCGGCATGCATGCAGTTGCGTCTCACCCTCACCGCACTACAGTTTTAGTGCGAATGGGACACGGACCTGCACTGTAATTTTGTATGGATAGGGACATTGAACCGTGAGAGGGTTACATCTCATCGTGACAATAGATGTGGCGAAGCAGTGATGGCACTGCAATTTTAGCGTAAGTAAAGTCATTGAATTTATAACGCGGGTGAGGATCATAGTTTTCCATAGGCAAATGAGATGTTGCATAGACTTCAGTGTACCACTAGACAGCTTTGGCAACTTAGTCTGTAGACAATCGGTGGATGTTGACCAAGTGAACGCTGTTATAAAATACTAAAACACCAGGACGGATGAGAAAGTCGACTCGCAAATTATTCGTAACGATCGAGTTGGATCTTATTTAGGAATCACATCGTCTGGTGTATGATGCTGCCAACTCAAAACCAAAATTTTGAATCTACCATAGCAATAGCTGTGTCACTCTTCTCCTGCAGCTGTAAAATGTGATTATGGACTTTCATTTACATGTCTGCACGTAACGATGTACTTGCACTGCCTCATTTATTTTCGGAATTCTAAGGCTGTGCCTAATGTTTATTAATGTGATTTCACTGGTTGGGCGCGTGGAATCTCGCTCGCCTCACTTTTCCAGACGGTACGTTGGTGGCTTGCTACATGCGATATAATTCGACATACTTCGGATGCATGTGGCCTTCGGATGCGTCTTCTATGGACTGCACTGCAATATTAGTGCGAACGAAGAGAATTAAGTGGGTGTCAGTCAATATGCGCGACGCGCGAACCGTCAGACCAAATATCAAAATTGCACAAAGTTATTCAGAGTTCCCGTGCTGAATAAACGAATCAAGGAAGATCGTATAAATACTAAATTATGAACATCTAGTTGGACCTGTTAATAAAGTCAAAACAGCACAAGAACAACGTTGTCATCAGACGAGAGGTAGAAGTAGGGCGGGGAAAGTCAGAGGTATTTTGCACAAATTCCAAAGAACACAAAAGAAAGTATGTCTGAAGATTACCCGAGTGCCATCAAAGGGTCAACTCCGTTTTATGCATGCGATTCATTAAATGAATCCAAAATTTGACCAGGCGATACGGCACATAAGGTACGACAAATTCCAACAGGCTCACATAAGTTGTAGTGATTTATTGACTTGAGAAGATTTAACACGATCCCCCAAGCTCGAACATCTTCATTGGAGCTATTTTTGCAGTGCGGCCGCAAATGTTTACTTCGAGGTGGTGCTTGGCGAAGCAGGCTCAACGAGACACATAACCCGCCACAGCGGCCTGGAAACCCTTTAGAATGAACTGCCTTTCAATATGTTACAGCATGTATTGTAATTCTCGTGGGTCCAATTCTTTGTATACAGATATGCCTTCCAAGACAGACTGAGGTAAGGCGAGTTATTCAAGTGAACTTGACGTCTAGTTTGGCGGATTCTTCCGGTTTGAGGGGCTGATATGACAATATAACTTTACTCGTGGACTCATATCACTAGAATGAATTAACGAAAAGTCTTCTCAAGAATTTAGTGTTTGATTACGTTTAGGAGATTAAATGTCGGTCTGTCTGCATTACACCCGCAATACTTGCATGTTTGGATGTGAAGTTAAAGTCGCTTACAGTAGGTTTGACGTAAGATCACTTTGTAATTACACTTTTGTTCTTTTTAAATTCGGACTTCTACATGAGCCCTTCTAGACAGCTTCTAATTTTCCAAGAGGAGGGCAATTTATGTAATAATACCCTACAATATGTACTAAGATTAGTCGAAATGTTTTAAAGAATTATTTGATACGATCTCACAAACGCCAAGTCGTTAACACATAAATCGAGTAATCTAAATACGAGTACTGTAGACTTATCTTAAGTTATAGAATCTTAGTTATTTTAGTACTTCTAATAAAAGTAGAAAGTGATTGTTATCGCCCCTAGTAGCTTTAGTAGCGAAATATATACTAAAATAGAGTGTAAGGGTTTAGACCCTAGGGGTAGAACACTGGCTGTACGTGCCAGTGCTTACTAAGCGAGGGCCCTGCCCTAATACGCTACACAAAGCGCTACTACTAAGCGCCGTACTCCTATATATAAAAGACGGGCTCTAAGTAGAATCCTTCTCTCTTCTTTATCGAACTTATTTAATTCTATAAGTAAGCCCTTATATATATATAGCTTTCCCGTAATATTAAGTTCGATTAATTATAGATCTAAGACAAGTCTTCTAATCTAATAGGTTTATACCGTCTACCGGCGAAAGCTTATCGGCTACCGAGGAATAATAATAATAAGTATTAATAAACGCTAAGTTGTTAGAAGTACTTTAAAGGGTTTATATATACTAATAAGAGATAGAGGCCGAGTTAAAAAGAGAGTATTCTATAGGAAAACGTAAGGAGAAAGAAG